ACAATCCGCTTTTCTCTTGCTCTTGTCTTCAGCAGTCAATTCGTGAGGCACCCAGCTGTTAAACTTAAATTTTAGATTTATGCGTTTGAGAGCATTTGCTATTGTTTTTTTTTTTGGCAAACGTAAAGCTCTAACGCAATGGTTCGTGTTGAAACATTTCTGTCTTGATCAATAATTTGTTTTAACTGGTCACAATCAACCTCAATAGGGCGGACAGAACGTGATTCATCTTCAATGTTGAAATTCCCAGTATTAAACTTTCGAAACCAAACTTTTACTGTATCATTAGAAACAGTATTGAAACCTTAACTTTCTCACATTTTCTTGTGGCATTCAGTTGCACTTTTATTTTGGAACTCATAGTACATAATCGTTCTGATCTGTTTACGTGATAGCTCCATTTTAAACACTTTTTTGGGATGCCTGCAAGTGACGTTGTGTGGGTATATCGATACTGATTGGTTTTTGAAACGTCACATGCGCTGTGTAACTGTCCTTTCTATTTTATTTTGAGTAAGCCAAACCCGTCAAGAATCAAGAGACTCATTCTATATTCTTTCATAAAGATTTCAATTTTTTCACAGTATATTTTTTACTTGACACAAAGACAGGCAAGAACCTGTAGAACATAAACTAATTATGCATTGATGTTGCCAGGTATACAAAACAGAAATATATCACGGTTGCAATGAAATACAATTATATTTTAATGAATTTGAAGCGACACGGGTCCCGAAGTGGACTGATCGTTAAGACGCGGTTTTGTGAATTTTATCCGCTTTTTGCTATCCTGCAGTGGACTGATCCCAGCAGATCACCGAAGTCAAGCATCACAGGCTGCGGTCAGTGTGCTGGTGGGTAATCCATTTGGATCAGTCTGCGTAGGGACCGAGGGTGTGCGGTATTGGTCCTCGTTAAACTGTGCTACCGTAAAGTGCTCGACTTCACGTGCAGGTCGTTGGGCTACCGAAGCGGGGTGCCATCCCCTCTGCAGAGGATCAAAATTGTGATGGCATGTCTTCGGATCATTCTCAGGGATGTTTCCCAGACCGTCGCCAATAGCCCACTGTGCAGCTCTAGTGCGACGTAAATGAAATACAACTACAACAATTGAAGCGACACGGCGTTGTATTTAATTAACATCATGTTGATTAACGTAATTTATCTCAATTTAACACGCCATCTTATTCTTAAACGTTAAGTTGGCACTGAGGTTATAGCCAGGTGTCTGTGTCTCAGTAATCGTCTTCTAAAGTTACAAGTATTTAATTTTTATGTGAGTTGTGAAATTTAAGGTATTGCTCTTGTTTGTATTTAACTGATTCTGAGTTGTAACCTTTTTATGAAATCCAGAAAAAAGTGTCCAGACCACGTCCATTTATAACCCTTTTTTTATTTACCGGGTGAGAAGATCTCCTCTCTAGGCACTTTTACAGTAGTTTATATAACCACACTCACTCCGTTTGTAACGTTACATCAATTAAAGGTGCGCTTAATTATAAAAAATATGTATATTGTGGCTGTTATCCAAACAATTCGCGATCGCAACGAACTATAGGGGGCGTTGTTGTATGAGACGCATACCTGCGATTTCTATATGAACCGTCATTCAGTTACTCTGGAGACGTCGTTAATGTAGCGTGTAGCATTGCAACGTTCCTTCTTTAATGTGGCTTATTAAATTTAAAAAAGAAAAATGCTTGATCTTCTTTCTTGTACAACCGAAAACAAAATGGTATCTCTTTTTATTAGAGAAGGAATATCCAAAACACATCGGAAAAATATTTGTACATTAACAGAAAAAAATATGTATATTCTTATAAGAGTTAAAACCTAATGCCCGAGAAATAGTATTACTAAATTTAATGATATAACATGAAAGGCCCATTTAAACTTTACATTCTATAGTTTTAAGAATCATATTAGTTCAAAAATTAAAATGAACAAAAAGTATACATAAGCCTCATAATTTTATGAAATTTAATTTTGTAAACAACGTTTTTTGACAACAATTTTTATCAAAAAATTTCAAGTTTCAATAAAAATCATTATTTAGAAACTAAGAAACGTAAAATAAAGAATGCTGACGAAACAAAAACAAAAAAAAAAAACAATTCTTTTTTGTCGCCATTTTTAGTGCTACGAATATTCGTCTTTGGGATTTGCCAAAAACAAAACAAGATGCAATTTTATTTTTTCAGGAGGGAAATATTTTACCGAAAAAACGAAAATGTACCAATTCCCACAACATAAAACTTTATCTTGGTAAACGTACGTTTTGGAAATGTTATTTCATTTGGAATCTTATTTATCAGAGTTCATATGGCGATATGATTGTTTTGAATCTATGCTAAACTCTATATCGGCTCATTTTCCACCGAAATCCGATTAACTATTTTGATTTTAAATAAAGTGTTTTATTTTATGAATTGTCGCAAAAATTTTAAGTGTAGATTGGCGGCACTTAAAAACCGCCAAATCTGTAGCGGCGGTGGCGTTAATACGTAAGTACCGAATTTTTATTCCATACTTTTCTGAATCATATTACTTCAAACATTGGAATATACAAGAAGTATACATAAACACATAATGTTATACCATTTAATTTTTCAAAAAAAGTATTTTGAGAACAATTTTTATCAAAAAATTATAAACTAAAAAACGGAAAATAAAGAATTCTTAGGATAAAAAAAAGATTTTAAGAATTCTTTACATTGAAATAAAAACTTTCATATTGTTTCTTTTTTTATTATTCTTATAGTTCTTAATCAGACGTAAAAAACCATTCTGTAGAGAACCATCATCAAATGAAAAAAAAATATTTACAAGCAAATTTTTTATTGTAAAAATCATTGCACTTACCTGATTTATGATTCCCGGAGAATTCCAAAATGATAAGTTCCTTGTTTGAAAACTTTATTCTCAAATAATAGATACATAGTTTATACCTTCATTACTTTTAGATAACATACTACACAGCAAAATTTTATAATTGATATGAATTTGAATATGTAGCTAAAAACAGAATAGCTGAATTCTAGTTGAACTTATTCTTTCAAAATTAAAAAAAACTTACCAAGAAAACGATTTAAATTAATTAAGAATCAGCACAAATGGCACTATTTCAAGTAACTTGGATAATTTTTTATTGTTGTTTTCCGAATTATATGGATACAGAAATATATACTATTCTATAACGAAGAAGAATATGCTATAACTATTACAATTCTGTATGTTCTGAATTCATATTTATTCACTGGAATGACGAAAGCAATGTTGACTTCACTTTAATTCGTAATGAATTGAAGACAGAAGAAATGCATTTTACCTTAATACACACATCTGTAACAGTATCCGAAATCGGAAGTCATCAGTTGCAAGTTTGTTGATAATAGAAATTAAAAATTATTGAGGAATTTTTCTTCAAATGTTTGGCGTGTTCTGTTCCTGAAAGATTTACTAATATTCTGGAGATTTTTTTCAAGTTCTTCGGCCTTTTCCTTAGGGAAATTTTGTTTCTTATTTGCTGCTAAAAAATGGCGTCTGATTCAGTCAATGACTTTGATGGAACTAAATGAAAACGTGATAAATTAATGTCCGATATTTACAGGCTCCCGCTAGACGGCGTACTCGAGCGTTGCGATCGCGAATATTCAGAGCTGTTGGCTGCATCTTTGTTAAGAAAATTGTATTTGTAATTTAATTTTGAAAACAGGAAAATAATAATATAGCTCAAAGGAATAAAAGTTAAATTGAATTTAGTTTTTTGGGGAGGGTTCCCTTTTTAAGATTTCTATGGAAGGGAAGAAAACTCACTAGATGATCCGCAATTTCCATTCAGCAATCTTCACTCCCGCAATCTCCATTCTCTTTAATGAATGTGATCAGTAGTACGCAGTCGTGTGTCTTTGGCTATTTATAAATGAATCATTGTCTCAGTCTCATTTGTATGGGACTGGATGACTAATTTATTATTACAAGCATGAAACCTGTCCCAGTGGAAAACAGGTATGAGAAGCAGCGTCGAGTACACAGTATTTCAATATTATTGCTCTTTTAATTGAATCACAAGTTTCATCGCTTGCAGTAATACAATCATCATCATGCCATTTTTTTGAAATTTCAATTCATTGGTTACAATTTTATGTTATCGACTAATTGCATTTTAAAGTTTTTTCTTTTATTCAATATTTAAAAAATGTTCATGAACAAAATTATTTTTCATGAACAATACAAAGACTCTTCCCTCTGCTCACTATCTCTTATCTCACCTGACTCTTTTCAGATCGCTTCGTGATATGATTTTCATTTTGCTTAGACTTGTTTAATATTCTCAGTTTTATACCTTAACTTGTTTAGTAAATTATTTTAAATACATAAGAAGTTAAGTTTCTGCCTGCTCATTAACACCGAGCCTCAGAAATCGCTTATGAAGTTCTTCTCATTTATTCTGCCCACCGTAGAGTTACTGTCGATTGAGCAGCAAAAAATAAAGATGTTAGATAGTATTAGTAATTGTTACACGGACACTAAATGAAAACTATTAAATTTAGGATAACATAGATGAAACTCCTCAAAGGAACAAACTTTAAGAGTTCTAAAACTAATTCGATAATTTATAAAATACAGAATTATTTATATTCTCAAATCATTCCCCTTGCATATGGCTTCAAAAATTAAAATTTAAATATGATTAATTTTCTTTGTACATCGAAAATATAAAATTATCTAACAATTTATTTCTCCATAACTAATTCAACATTTAAATAAAGATGTGCTCTCTTCCTTCATCTACCAGAAGAAAAATTTACTAGGAGGATTACTAGCACAAGTCACTCACCTGTAGATAGAATTTATTTGAGTAACAACATATACCATAGAGCATGTCACTAAAACTTACATTACCCATATCACGTGGTTTTCTGCTTTAAAAACCAGTTATTCATAATTTTCATTTACTAAAAATCCCAATTTTTACTACAACTTCGATTTTAACATGTAGTGGGAAGAGAAATAGAACATTGTTTCCCGTTATACGGTGTCACCTTTTCAAACTGAATCGTTCATAAAATGATACTAATTCCTGTTTTAGACGTTACTTAGCAGATACTGTTAGATTTTTCGGTTGAAAAAATTATTATTTACGAAAAACTGATTACTTTTGTTGTTGTCGCTCTGGTATGGCTTGTTTTGCTTGAACGGCCGGCATTTTAATAAGACTGTTTTGCTTTAATTACAATTATTATACTGTTCATTTATTAAATGGTGGGGTTAACTTAATATTTTCATTCTTTTTTTGGCTCATACTATTAAGAGTTTATGCTTAAAGTAGGAACGCTATTTCGTTATAATCCCACCAAGAAAGACTATATAATATAGTGAGGAATTAGAAATCATAAGTATTGATTTGAAAAATTACCATCATTTCTTATAATTGTTTTTTTTTTTAAATTTAATCTTAGTTTAATATTAAATGTTTATTTTCTTATTTTATTTGAATATTAACACTTAACTATTTTTTCTTTTACCATATATATATATATTATGATTATCTTTTTTTATTTGCGTTTTAAAGTAAACTGCTATTATTGTAAACGATATTTGTTAGCGCATGCATCTAATCTGTCTTGTTTTGTGTTGGATGGCTGTGAATAAGGCCATGTAGAGTTTATATAACTATAAATTCATTATTGTATTCTGTTCTTCTAACCTGTTGACTTAAGTATTTTCTTTTTAAATAGCAAGTTTGAGTGTATTAAAAAGTTTAACTCTTTTATCTTCTTAAAATTTTTTCTGTTATATAAAGCAGTGATAGAAAATTATAGTTGCAATATTTATATTCAGATTATATATTTCCCAGAAAAATGTTTATATATTGCTCAGAACAAATAGTTCTGAAATGCTTTTCATCCCTGTGCCTCAGAAAGTTCTTTGAGCCTAGTATTTCTCCAGAACAAAACTGAAATTTCTCTCAAATTTATAGCTTTTCTTTTTTTACAGTTTCATTAATTTTTTCTATATATGTTTAGATGGAATGTTTGTATATTGTTAAAATTTTTGATAATTATTAATTCTTCACCAAAAAAAAAAATTACGAAATTAAAAACATATGTGTTAAAATTAACGGAAACTGACATATGTGTTAAAATTAACGGAAATCAAAAAATTTTAAATAGCAATAAATTATAAAAACATTTAATGGCTCTGTGGCTGAAGCCCTGAGCTATCATCCTGAAATACTTGGTTCAATATCTGGCAGCGGTTTGATGCCCGCCCAGTTTCAGATCTATGGATACCAGCTTTGCTAGTAAGTAATGGGACGGTTTTTTGTGCAATATTGACCACATTATAACCATTAGTCACAAAATTATAGAGCCTTAACTTCCAATATTACTACTTTTTTAATTTCCAAATACTGCATTTTTACAAATACTACATTCTGCACAGTACTACAATTTCAAAATTTGATGTGCTAAATGTCAAAATTATTTTGTAGTAATAATAATGTCAATTTTATTTAGTAATACATTTTATCTGTTATTCAAGATTTTACCTGTAATAGTAATCATCATTGTTTTAAATCATTTTTAGAAATGGCTACAGCACTTTCTTACCGAAACAAAGGCTCTGATTCTTCAGGTAGTGATTCCGAAGACAGTGACAATGAATGCCTCAATTGGAAAAGAGTCACCAAAAATGATGGTGAAGATTTGGAGAAAATCCCTATTGCACCACCACCAGTTGAACCGCAACCTACACAAATAACTAATTCTTACAAACGTAAAAGAAATACGATATGGTGTGAAGTTCTAGAGGATCAGATGATGTCTGAGACTTTGAAATTTTGTGGAATCAAAAATAAACCCAAGGGTTTCGGAAGTCGAGGCGAGGAAAGTTATGACTTTACTGTGGGTAAAAATATTTACAATGATGATGGTTCTGATGAAAATATGTCAGATGACTCAAGGACATCCTTTCAAAATCGACGTAAACGTTTTAAAAGTGATAATTACGTTGAAGTAGATGCCGCTGAAAAGGAAGCTGCTAAAAAGATATTAAAAGTTTTGGGTGAACCAAAGAAATATTTAATATGTAAGTATGATATAATTTGAGTGTTTTATCTAAAGATGCTATTTTTTTATTTTTATTCTATACATATTTGATGCATAAGTATGGCATTATTTCTTGATTGTTTTATCATATAATATTAATATTTTTTTCTTCATATTTGTTTGATTTTTAAAATTTTTTTTAGTTTGTCCATGATGTTAAATCTTTTGCTATTTTTTCATTTTTAGATTTTATTTGTAAATATGTAATGTAATTTACTCGTTATATTTTCCGATATATTGTAGTAGTTTGTTAGCTGACAAAAACAAACAGCTTGTATACATAACAAGGTGCACACTAAATCTGTTGTAGCTGAAAATCCCCTCATTGACTGCGGAAGTTAGGAGAGAGGGGTGTAAGCTCAGGCGCTGTTCATGTCATTTGTTACCTAGACCTTGAAAATATTTGGTTAATATATAATTTAAAACTGTTTAATGTGTTAGGAATAGAGGAGAGGTTGAAAAATCGGAATATTTAAATACAATAAGGCTGTGCATTTGGCTTGGTTTCCATTAAATTTAATGCGTTGTATAAGATAATTTTGCTAGGTGGTCAAGCTGGTCATCAAAGTTATCTAATATATATATATATATATAAAGAAAGATTTATTAGCAGCTGTGAATATACTAAAAAAAAAGGATTACTAATTCTTTGGAAAGTATTTATTTCTAAATGAAATATTATATATTTTATTTTTGAAGAATGAAATTTATGAATTTGATGTATGTATAAATAAGATGAATTGTGGTTTTTAAACAAGAAGTGTTCTAAACGTTGAGAACAGTAATCAGGAAAACTTAATTCATTGTGTTTGAATTTGGTTATTTTGTTTTGAATTGTAAAACTCAGTGAGAAGTACTTATGGAATTTTTTAATGCCTATTCTTTTCATAATTTATTCTGTATATTATTATTCAAGAAAAATATTTTTGTATAAATGATTTTATACAAGCAACCAAAATATTAGAAAAATTATAAATTATTGAGTGGATATAGATATAATTATTTCTGGTTCAAAAAAAGTCCTCACTCTTGGAACCTTCTTGATTCTTTCAAGGAACCCCAGTGTTTGTTCTATGTGCAATTATTCTATGAGCTGGAGTAGTGTTAAGTTGATAATATATATCTTGGCAGATATGCATAGGAAAAGCACCCAGGAAAGTTGGTAACATTGTTTTGAGAAAGATTAGATATTTTCGGCCATTTAATCGACCCAACTTCATGCAGTATCAGACTTGCTTCTGAGTGAAAGATCCCAAGTTGCTGAGTAATTCCCTACCTCCTCATAGAATTTGAATGCTAAATTTTGAATGACCCTATATTAACTAATATTGTATTGGCTGCTGATGTCTACAATTATATAAAACACATTTGTTTAAGTTTGAGATTTATGGATAATTTGTTTACTTTGTCTTGTTAATTTTTAGTTCGTGTTGTGAAGTACATAGGCATTGAAAAGGCTATGAAGTTTTTGAAAATGACAGAGGATATAGAAGAAAGTGGTGGATTAATGATCAAAGTAAATTTAATTAAATAATTTTCATTTCTAATTTACTGTTTTATTTAATGTAAGAGTAAAATTGATAAATTTGTTTACATGTTAGAAATTTAATAAAAATTATAATGATGAGAGCACTATATGTAAGTCAACTTTTATTTTAGTGTTTTTTTATGATTCAGATATCGTTTAAAAATATATAATATTCATTTTATTGTTCTAAAACGAAAGGTAGTTCAAAAGTCTGTGCTGTGTTAGAGATTTTATCTAAATGAAGTAATAGAATTTATTTTATAGTTTTTATTTGTATATTTTAAATTGGGGCTATATTTTATATTAAAACTTGTGCCATACTGAAGGAATAATGTTCAAGTTAAATTAAGTTAATATTGGCCAACATAATTTAGGTGAGGAAATGTCCTATAGGTTGATTTGAAAAAAGTTTTGAATTAGAATCTGAATTTAGAAATTTTTTTTCATTGTTCAGTTTTATAGTTTATGCTGATTTTAAAACAAGGCTTATTGCAGTGTTTTCACTACAGCGCGAGAATCTCGCATTAAAAAATGATTAACGCGAGAAGTTTGCTCACTCTATTAATCAATTTTAAATTGCACGAATCTCCCAAATTTTGGAAAAAATTTCGTTTTCCGCCATTTTGAATGAAATCCGCCATTTGAAAAAAAATCCGCCATTTTGAAAAGTGACAAAAAGTGAAGTGTTGACAAAAAAATGAGTCCTTTATTATAAGTTGTTTAAAGTTAGCTCTATTTTTAGCTGTTAATGAATTACTAAACTCCCTCATCGACAATTTTCAGCAATTTGTAAAAGTTGAAGTCTGAAAAAACTATGCTGGAAGACCTAACAAGAAGTATGAGCATGGAAACAACTTTAACGAACTTCACTATTCATTAACAAAAATAATTGAAAAGCCTATGCTGGCAGATGTAGAGGATAGGAAAGTGTGTGCACAATGCTACAAATTTAATTAGTGATTTCGAATAGTTCAGCATCTGTTGAAATGTCATTTAGCACCCAAAACCGAATTAAAACAAAATATTGCAACTGATTGCCTGATGAGTATTTGAGCAACCTAATGAGAATAGCTGGTGAAAAAGTAGATAAAGAACATTTTTCATATGATGATGTACCAAAAATATTCAATGGTTAAGAAATTAGAAGGTGTTAAAAATGTATTATAATTAAAGAAATATTTTTTTCCGAGTCTATTCGTGTTTTTTTAATTTTTAGAAATCTCACTTAGCTTTTTGAAATCTCACCCTGTTTTTGAGAAAGGGTGAGAAATTCTCTCCCATTTTTTTTCTGTAATGAAAACACTGCTTATTGTATGTAAAGTAGGGAAATAATTGTCAGATTTCTGACTCCCATATCTGACTTTGTCTCTGCCCTGAATCAGGGGCAGATCCAGAAATTTTTCCTAGGGGGGAGAGGGGTCATAGACTCAGATTCCCCATTAAATAATTTTTAAAATATTTTATTTCTTTTGTAAACTATTAAAAAAATTATAAATTTTTTTTTCAATTTGGGGGGCGGGGGGGGTCATGACCCCTATGACCCACCTCCCTCTGGATCCGCCACTGGCCTGAATACCCTGTTCACCCTGTCCCCACTCTGGAAGGGGTATGGATGCTTAGATGCTAGGGAGAAAAGGACAATTATTTTCAACACCAGTTTAAGTGAGAAATATCAAGGTTAATAAGGAAGAAAAGGATCCATAGAAAGTATTTTCTGTTAGTCTCTATACTTAGATATAAAACAGTCTATTAAAAATACATATTTAAAGGTTTTAAGTAATCGAGAAATGTGATAAATCTTTAAAATTTTACATCGACTGTCTCATTTTCAATGAATTTCCAAAACATGTTAGAGACGTTAATTTTCATTTAAATTTTTATTGGCAATATATTTACAATATTGGCAATATATATTACTATTTTTATTAAATTTGGTTCAGTTCAGTTTTCTTTTTTATTATACAGGTATTTGATTCTTCCGCTAATTTGCGGCATTTCAAAAAGAATCTCAAGACTATCAATTTATTATTATTTATATATTATTATTATTAAAATTTTCGAAGTTCCGCTAATCTAAAATTTTGTTACTTATGCAAAATCTTGTTTACAAGGCATTTCTTCCGCAATTCCCTGCAACCTTTTTTTCCACTAAGTTCTCATTCACACACCCTGACTTTTTTTTTAACGCTTTGCTTGAGAAAAACGCAACTTCGGATAAGTTTAAAAGGCCGACCAGTCTGTGTAGGGGTCAGGGAACTGTCCTTGCATCAGAAAGGTTCTGGGTTCGAATCCCGGGCAAGGCATGGATGTTTCTTTCCCTCTATCTGTGTTCTATGTCCTTTCTCCTTTGTGTGTGAATGTGACCCGCCCTATAAACGGGTTGTGGTAGTGTGACGTGGGCGACGCTGTTCCACCGCCGTGGCTTCGCCACAGGTGCCCACTGGGTAACGAAAAGAGAATTAGCAGTTCTGGCACTTTCTGTGGCCAATGGACAATAGCTCCAAGTGCCCGCCATTAAAAAAAAAAAAAAAAAAAAGTTTAAAAGACATGAGACCGAATGAAAAAATTCCATAATAACTTCAGCTACAATTAATGAACTACTGAGACAAATACAAATATATAAAATTGATACTCTAAAAAGTAATTCTAAAATGACTAACATTTTGAAAATCATTCACTCGAAAAAATAGTGTTTTTTTAAAAAATATATATATATATATTTTAATGAATATCAACTTTGTTGCAAATTCCGATTGATCGCAAATTTTCCGATCGACTTTTTACCAGTTATTGTTGATATCTATGTGGTTATTTTAAACTTCAATATTTTCTTGCAGTAATATTAAAAAATGAGTAATTGAAATCACACATTTGAGTAAATACTTTTTCTAGTGCTTGATTTGCACTAAATCCATATAGCATTTTAATTCTTTTTTTGCTTGTTTGTTCGTTGCAATTGTTTTTTAGTTTCAGATAATTTTATAAAATCTTGATATTAGGAAATTCAAATTCTGTACCTGAGTATTCTTCACTCTTTGATGCAATAATTTTTTCATTTTTTTCAATCAGTTTTTCGACACATGTCCCTATTAGTTTTCCCATATTTTTTAAAATCTCGATATTTTTAATGTGATATTATTTATTATAACACATGAATTTCGCTCCATACATTTAATTAACCCTTTTTTGCTTTTTTCAGTTATTGCCGTGTTTCACTGTTTTTAAAATCCTTTTTTTTTTTCATACTCATAAAGTGCTGAAAAGTAGAAATATGTTGTAATTTTTATAAATTCATATTTTTTAATTCTTCACTGGGATGAGTAAATTTTTTTTTATTAGATAATAAAAGTTATCCTTTTTTTCTTTAAATTTTATAAATATTACTTTTGTGTATAAAAATGAGTTTTTTTTATGTCCTATGTGTGAAAAATAATCAGGTATTAAAAATAAACCACACTTAAAAAAATAGATAATTTCTTCTTCCAACAGTTGTATGTCTGATATTATTTAAATAAAGCCAAAAAGCTAAGTTTATTTTAGTTAAGAATACTTATAAAAATTTATCCAATAATCTGTAATCAAATCTCTCCATTTACTTAGATTATTTTTCTGTGCTTCATAGGAAAATTTTATTATCTTACTTTATGTATTTTATAAATTCTCATTATTCCTTGTTGTAAAGCATTTTTTGATTTTGAAATTACTGGCAAATAAATGCTCTAAGTTCTATATTTTTGAACATTCTGTGCATACTTCAAATCATTGCTAAATTAGCTGACTGCTCATTTCACGTGATGGGTCGAGTGTTGAAATCCGGCAATAGTGGGATAGGTTTAATTCTTTAATATACGAAAAAGATACAGAATTGTGATGATTTGAGCCGTGATACCTCTGGAGATAAAGCGTTCGTCTTTAAGGAAGAGACCCATGTTCTAATCCCAGCTGTGGCTGGTTGATATCCTCCAGTGAAGAATTCCCTTGCCTTCTGTCTAACTGTTGGAGGTTTTTACAGTTTTCCTCTCCATGTAACGCAAATGTTGATTAATTCCTTCAAAAGGCCTCCCCGACCATTCGTTAGAAAAGTTTTTTTTCTTCACATATTTTTTAAAACTTATATTTTAATGAGCAATCTCATTGCGAATTCCGTTTTGTCACACAAAAATTTTTTAATCAATCGATATATTTTCGCCTTTTTTATTTGCCTACCATTAGATCGAATTAAATTTATATGATTATACAGCATGGAAATTTCAAATCACACATTTTAGTGATCACGTTTCTACACGCTCTATACCCTTGTAAATCTGTGTTTAAATATTATTTCTTCTTCTTCTGCTGATAATGCAATTGGTTTTCTCACAAATTTTAAAATTCCGATATTATTACTAGCACACAGAATTTGAATCACGGACTTCAGTAATCACTTTTCGATGCGCTCGATTTTCGTGACTACCATCCTCCTCATACCAAGACATCCATGCTTTTCTCTAAATGTTATTGGCTTATTTTCTCAATGTTTTTTAAAATCTCGTTATTGTTTTTACATTATTATGACACCAAAATTCAGTTTGTGCATTAATTAGTCACATCATGATATGACGGTACCACTTTTTTTCAGTTGATTTTTTTACTAGTATTGCTTCTGATATCCACATTGTCATTTGAGTAATAACTTTCTGACATGGACGATTTGCACTAAATCCATGCCACGTTGTGATAGTTTATTATATTTTTTTGGCAGTTAATGCTGCTTATTTTCTCATAATTTTTTGAAATTCCAATTTTATTATGATATGAGAAATTCAAATCGTGCACATGAGTATTCAATATTTGTTGCAATAATTCCATAATTTTTTCAATCACTTGTTTGGCAGTTATCACTACTTATTTTGCAGATTTTTTTAAATCTTTGATATTTTTAATATATCTTTTATTATAGAGTGTTAATCTCGAAATGCAAATTTAATCATCCCCTTTTTGACGCATCCGATTTTGTTGTAAATACACTTGGTGTGATCATTAATCTTTTTTTAGTTATTGCCATAGATTTCAGTTTTTGAAATCTTTTTATTTTTGATGTGATGACAAAAGTGCAAAAAAGGAAGAATATATAATTTTTTTTCAATCTATGTATTTGTTTATGTATGCATAAAAATGACAGTCTTTAATCTATTCCTTCTTTCTGCAAAAAGATATACAGTAGAGAACCGATTATCCGGAACGATCGGGACCATCGCAATTCCGCATAACTGATTTTTCCGGTTTTCTGTATCGCTACAAAATGTCGTTTTTTTAATGTTTATAAAACGAAACTAAAAAATTATTTTGAAATAGTTTTAGAAATAATAAAAAATGATAAGTAATAATACACTTAAGTTTAAATAAGCAAAGAAATTACTAAATAAAAATTATATACAGGCTTATATATGTTATTAATGTTATTATTAACAATAATAACATATATAAGCTATTTGTGCTTATGTGAGATTCGTCTACAAACGGCTTTTGATCCGTCCTCTAAATCAGTTCTTCCGTCAACTCAATACTCCATACACTCTAAATAACAAAATAGGCTCAAAATCTTGCAGGAAAAAAAATTTTTTTAATGGAAGAAAATTAATTTCCGGTTCCGAATTTCATTCCGGTTATCTGGTTTTCCGGTTTTCTGATTTCCAGATAAAAGGTTCTGCACTGTATAAAAAAAAATTCATTGAAAAAAAATTTTTCAGATAATTTCTTCTGGCAATCAAATATATGATTAAGGGGCTCTTAACTTATAGAATTAACAATTTAGTAATAGAAAAAATGGTACTTTGTTAAGAGTAAAAAATATTTTTTAAGCAAAATATGTGTCATAAAAGGTCCTCTTTAATAATTTTTTTCTTTTGTGCAAGGTCTGTGAAAGGACCCAGCTTTCTCTTAAAATGATTCTTGCTTTTCAAAAGTAAATATTTTAGTTTGTTTACATTTCTATATAAATTAAAGTTAGACATTTAAATATAATGCTTTAAATATCTTTTTACAGAAACTCTTTAGTTGTCTGATATAATTATTAAGAATAATTCCTTATTTAATTATTCACTTTCTTTTTGTGTGTGGTGTCTACTTCTAGAAAATCTTGGTTTTTACAAAAAAAAGCTTTTTCTGCTCCAAATAGCTTTCTGTCTCTCGAAAATAGCCTTTTTGCTGAACCAAAATAGCTTTTGAGTATATAACACGCTATTTCATCATTGCTATAAAAAATTTATTAAAATAAAAAAAATTATAACTTTCCCCGTTCTTGCATAGAGTTCCTTAGTGCCTTTTATGATTATTATTTTTTCCTTTTATTATTTTTAATAATTTTATTCATAGCCAATGTTTTTAAACTTAAAAAATTTACTTAGTAATTGCAGCTCTGATTATCTAACATATCCTTCTTATAGATTTCAGATAATCAGGGTTCTGCTTTGTATTCATTTTGCTTTTAAAAATATATATTGTTAAATCTATTTCTGTATGAGTTTCTAAAATTTTTATTTATTAATAAGTAAAAGTAAAATATTTTAATTTATGGACTTATTAGAATCAAGGAAGACGAAGGACTCCTGGTGGTGTCTATTTGTTTCTTTTAAGGTCAGATGATAGTATAGGGAAAGACATAAAGGATAAGATATTTGAAGGTGAACTGAATAGCTATGAAAGAAAAAAGAAGTTTGATGACAAGCGAAAAAAGAAAAGTCAGAAACATAAAAGAAACAAAAAGAAGTCCAAAGGTATACTTAATTAAGCAATAGTAAATATTTTTATAAGGTTAATAAATTTTTTTTATGCTTACAGTACATTAAATCAAAATTTCTACTCTAGTGTAACAGAACATTTATTTATTTTTAAACATAACTTAAATGAGGAATGCTCAACCATAATATGTTTAGGTCATTTTGGTTGAGCTCAACCATAATTGGTCCCTAAAATTTAGATAACTATGTTGAGAAGAGGGCCAACATCAACATGAAACTGTAACAGTAAAAGTAAAGGCCGAATTTAGATTCTATTTGAAAGTAATATGAATGGCCAATTTTTATTACTCAGGTGCAGATAATTAAGTGAGAGAAATAAAATTATTTTATGTAAATATATATTTATCCAGAAATATTTTGATTTGTTGAAGTAGTTGATGATTAACCATTAGTCCAAGGTGTTAATTGATGTATTTTCAGTTGTCCATATATAATTCCAGTGTGATGTAGGCAAGAGCGGTGTGCATATTAAACTATAGGAACTGCTTTAGTGAAAAATTAAATTCATTTTTGTGTACATATAAGTTAATAAATTTAGAAAATGACTCAAAGGGTGTGACAGCAGGACTAACCACCACAGGACAACATCCGTCCACCAAGAGGTAAAAAATTCTAGTTCCATGTGTACGTTGGCATAGTTTTATCCATAGAATCCATGTAATTGCTGTTAATTGATTTTATCTATTGCCAAAACTCTTTTTCAGAGCCATATGCATTCAGATTTGTTGGTGGAAAGCAAAGCGCGAGAAATAATTGAGAATTTTAAGTAGCACACCGATTTTGGAGTGTGATTTAAACCTCTGCCAATTTTAAAAAATGTCTTTAATAAATAGCATTTTTAAATCATCTACCTGTTTTCCTGCATTCCAGAACTTTCGACCATGGCTGCCATCATATATGTATATTTGTACTTAATTAAAGATTACTAGAAGTAATTATATTGCGAATTATAGCAAAATTTGGTGTGGTCAGGATAGCCTGGTTGGTAGGGCATTGGGCCCATGTCCAAGAGGTCGTGGGTTCGATTCCTGCCGGCCGAAGACTCTCTGTGTGGTAAATAGTGACTGATGCAGGCTAAATCTGTTGAGTCTCAAAGTCCTCTATGTTCCCATAACAAATCAATACCTCTGGGGGTACTGAATTGGAGATCGTTCTCTGATTCAGGTCAAAATTACGATCTATGGATGAAGGACTGGACGTATGAATGGGTCCACCCTATAAACGGGTGTGGAAAAGTCGAATTCTTGGCCATAGATGGCGCCACTGGAAAACAAGAACAATCGCACCCCCTCTGCTTATATGGCATACGTCAACAACAACAAAATTTGGTATTTAAAAAATAAAATTGTTCCATTTACCCAAATAAACGTTTTCACTATTTTTTGAAAAAACAAATTTTTTTACTAATACAGTATTAGATAAATGTAACTGTAATGGGTTGCAGTCTGATACTCTTGGGTAAGATTAAGATAATTCAGTAACTTACTGTCACAGCGCATGGATGAAAGGAGGTTTTTCTATTACATTGTTTATCCATAAAGACTAATATTCAGTTCAGGGACTATGTTCGGATTATAGGCCACAGCTTGTGCATCATTGATTTAAACACAGATTAATATTTTCAAAGTGGTTACCAGGTGCAGGGAAATTTTAATGCTTAACATTGTATTGATTTTAGTACTCCTTTTTTTACTGCTGAAAAATTCTCAAGAATAAGAGCATTAAAATGCTATATGTATATATATTTTATTTCACTTGAATATTTTATTACAACAATATGTATGATTAAATTGCATTATAGATACATCTATGAAAAATGATATTTTTCAAGAAAATTTGTTCTTAATTAGGTCAGAGGTCAGATTTTTAACCATTAAAAATGAGTTTTGAGGTCAGATTTTTAACCATTAAAAATGGCGTTAAGCTGATTATTAAAATAGAAGTTATCCAAGGTAAAAAAAAAATCATGCTGATCACCTGTGTAAACATTTTATATAACATAGATTATAAATTGTAATTTTCTTTTTCTTTCTAAGGTAAAATGGAAGTTCAAACTTCATCACCTGATAATTCTAAAGAATCTGATGTTGGCCACATGGAAGAGGATAATATTGTTGGTGATTTTCCTGATGTCAATGTACCTGACACTGTTGTAAAGACAACTTCTAATGCCATTGCAAATGATTCATCTGGTGCTGTTGTAAACGAAATAACTTCAGATCTTGAAGAGGGTGAAGTTGAGTAACACAAGAATTCCTAGTGATTTCATATTAATTTGTACATTTTTTTCTTCATTATACCTCATATTAATTTTGTAAATAATGTCAACTGGAATGACTGATTAAACCCTTATTATAAATGTTGTTACACATGTGGAATTCAGTGCTTAATTTTGTTAATGTGTCCCGTTTTTGTTAAAATAAAAAGGAGTTGTGAAAATTTTGTTTTTACCATAAAATAATTTAAGTGGTTATTTTTATGATAAATATGTTAGGAAAGGTCTGTTTAGTTAAACAGTAAAAAGTTTTTGCGAAGCATCTGTTTTAACCACAAATTTTGCAAGGGTCTATTTTAATGAAAAGAGATTTTGTGAAATGTGTTTAAATGATTATCTGTGAAGGGCCAGAATTTCCCCCCTAAATGACCCTTGATTTAGATTATGAAGTAGTATTCAATAGGACATAAAAAATAAGATCAACAGCAAGAGAAAGAAAGAAGCTTTAAAAAACAGGATTATCTCTAGTGATTGAAAAATTTAACCTGGATGGTTTTAAAAACTGTACGAATTTGTGCGAGTAGCAAATTCGTTTTTCAAATAAACATTTTTGAGGAGGCATAATTATTAGGATCATTCCATATTTTATCTAGCTTTTTATTTTTAACTATCAATTATTACAATCATCCACCTGTCTGCTATTAAAATAAAGCTTTTTTTTTCTTTAATAATTTGTATTTATAAATGTACATCTTGGTGTCATGCATGGCTTTTGAAACTAAAAATAAGCTCCATTTAATAATTTCAAGAAAAATTCATTAAATTGAAATTTTAACCTTCGCCATTCACAAATGTATGAAGTCATAATAATTATAATCTGATGAAACAATAGAAAGCTTTGAGTAAGTAGTAAACAGATTAATATTAACATCAGAATGAACTGGTTTATTAACTTTATAATTATAGTATTATTTTTTTCTACGTTTAAATAAGTTTATCTATTTAGTTATCTTTCTCAAAAGTTACATGACATATGACCCTTGGTTTGAAATGAATGATTTTTCACCTAAGCCTGGCAGCAGTGGGTGTTGCAGATATCAGAGCATTTGCGCATTATTTTTAAAAAAAATCTAAGGCTGCAAAAATCTTAGAAAAAAAAAAGAAGAGAAAAATTGCTACTAGAAAAACCAAGAACAAGTAAAAATTAAAACAAAAGATTTTTCTATCAATTCTGAAAAAGAATTTTCTTTTAAAAATTGATTTTGATTCTGAAAAAATGCATTTACTTAACGTTCATTTTTCTGATTGTGCCGGCCAGGTGGTTCGCGTGCCTGGTTGCGAGTTCGAATCCCAGTCTGGGCATGGATGTTTCACTGTGTGTTGTCTTCTGATGTGTGAACGTGGCAGTGTGGCAGAGGTAATGTTTCTCGCCTCCGTGACTTTGGTTCACAGGTGCCCACTGGGTAACGATAAATGAGCAACATTTTTGTTATCTTCTAAGGCAAAGAACGAAATTTCATTGCCTGCCGTTGTTAAAAAAAAATTTCTGGTTGTTTTATTTGTCTGCTAATTACCTCTGATGGTATGGAAATAAATTTCCTTTAAAGAAACTAAATATGCAGAAATCAGAACACCAAAAATTTCATAATTTTTTCCTTTAAAATAGATTTTATTTATAAATTATCATCAAGTTCATACTTTCTTTCAGATTTTATTACGTATAATCATGTTTTTTTTTTGGCCAAGCTAAAGTATGATTGTATAAAATTGAAATTAAATTTTAAAAATAAAGTTTTTTTAAGTAATTTTAATACAGTCAAACTCCTTAAAAGTCAACTCAAAGGAGGACAGAAAATCAGTTAATGTTAAAAATAGCTCTTCTTACCAGTGCAGAAAATTTTTTTATGAAAATCTTAGAATACAGACATTTTCTATTACAGTACAGAACTCGTTATCCGGAAATCAGAAAACCGGAACGAAATTCAATAAATTTTCCCTCCATTTTCTTTTTTTTAAAAAAGATGTTTACCTTACCATCATTTGGAAACAATCATATTACTTCCATCGTTTTTCCCTCTTTTTAAGATTTCCAAACATTTTTTAGACCATTTCAAACCTTTTGTAGCGATTCAGAAAACCGGAAAAATCAGTTATCCGGAATAACGATGGTCCCGATCGTTCCCTACTGTATCTATTCCCTGCGGCAGAACTTTTTCTGACTTTCTGCGACAAACCACTCTAGCACTAATATCTTTCTACAAGATACTTTTAATAACAACTATGCATGTTACTGTGTTAATTGAAAAAACTATTTAAATCGAGTAAAATTGTATATAATTTTTTAAATTGAATATGTATTTTTTTTCTTATTGTCAAATGAGAATAGATAAAACTCTAGCATTTCTATTCCCTCCAATGCAGGAAAAAGACATTTTTGGAATATAATTTTGAAGCAAAAAAAGTAAAATTTCTGCAGTAAAGAGAATCAAAATTTCTTCATTCACTATTCTTAACTTTACAAAAATCACAAGCATTTCTTTCCTTTCTATGTGTAAAAAGTCATATTTTGAACTAATTTTTGGAGAAAAAAGCAATTCGAAAATTTCAGCAGGAACTCCGCGTTTTGCGACAATGTCACTGCTGATTCTTCAGTTTTTCAAATAAGTAATCGTGAAAAATATAGCGAAGAAATGGGGGATTTCATGCACAGTAAAAACCTCTTAATAACAGTGCACAATCCAAGGAGCCTCCTATTCTATACATAAATAAAAAAATTACTAATATCTCAATACATTGTGAAAAAACAGTAGGGAAGAAACTATGGCTAGTGGGCAATGCTGACTACATATTGTGCGACTTCCAGGAGAACGAGACATCAGTCTAGCGGCACTTGTTACCATAACAGATGTTAGAAATGTACTCTCACTTGTTACCATAACAGCAGACCACCTCAGACTTTTAGTCTGGAAGAGTTCTCCCCAAAGCCACACAGTAGCTGCATCATGATTTGTTGAAACAAACATGCTCTACTTATAGATTTCGTTTTAATTTTTCCATAGATAAGTGCATCAATCGCAGTAAAGGGGAAGAAAAAAAACAGATCAGACAATAGATAAAAAAAAGTATGAGCCAACTGACACTATTGAAATTTTTTGCATAGTTTATTCGTTTGACAAGATGAATATTTTAGTCTACAGACACAAAATCATGTTTGTCATAACAATTTCACATAAATTAAATCTTACACAATCTAATATATATACACTACAATCTAAGACTGACTGTTAAGTTATGTTACATAGATTTCACTCAAGTCCATAATTAAAATATATAAACATTTAGAAGTTATATTTGGTTTTTATTTTCAGGTTTTTAAAACAAATAGATAAATATATTTAATACAGGAACAAAGAAAAAAAAAAAAAAAGCCCAAGGGATAAAAACACTGCCAGATCTACAAGATATGTTCATTCTATATACTATGACATTATTTTCACATATACACACAAAAATAATTTTTTTTTCTTTGGCACAATTTACCCAAACATTATTAATGAAATTAGATTTTTAGAGGGACAATCTTTTTTTAACAAATGAGCTATAAAAAATACTTTTTGCAGTTGAGAAGTTATTTTTAACATATTTTTATTAGTAAAAAAAATTCCAGGCAATTAGTTAGCATAATCCAGGCAGTTGGTTATTAATTAGAAAGGAAACAAAATCTGGAAACAAGTGCACTAAAACTATTAGGTTCTTAGTAGAATATAAAACAGTTTAAATATGGCAGATGTACAGTTGGCAAAACAACAGGGGGACATTATATAATTAAATATATAATTTAAGATGTTTTTGTTTGGATAATTTACAATCAGGAACGTGAGAAAAAAAGTTTAATGACAAAACCGACTATAATTAATTAACAAAAAATTTATACAAATTTGTTTATTTCAGTGTTTTTTTAATTACATAGCTAATTTTAAAGTATTCATCAAAGTGTTACGTTTATTTCAATTTTGAACAGTTAAAGCAGGCACTTTTAAATAAATTTTTTAAGCTCTCTTTAGGCCATTAAAGTCACAAAATTTTATCCAAAAAATAATTTCGAAACTATGAATAAATTACATTTTGGTAAGTGATTCAGAATCAATGTTAGAAGTGAACTTTTTTTCCATAAGAAAAATGCCCTTATCATGTATAGTGGAACCTCTGAATTAACATTGTAACTTGGCAAATAAATAGCAAATTTTCCAGAAAGTAAAGCACAAAATATTAAAATCTTTTAAAGTGGCTGTCAAAGAAATTTTTACATGTTTTTTTAAACTCAAGATTCAAACTGAATCTTAAAATATAAATGTCAAAAATTTACACAATTAAGCGCTAGTTAATGAATATGACCGTAATTTATCTTATTAAAAAAAGAAGTCTTTTTATAAAGACATATATTTGTATTTCTGTTGAAATATGTAACGTAATTCCCAAAATATCAAGAGTAACAAACATTGTCCCTCATTTATGCATTATAGTAAATCAAATATCATTTAACTAAAATATGAAAAAAAGACACCGGTTTGTTTGTTTTTTCCTGTAACTTTTACTTTGATACAGAAACATTTGGGACAAAATGTACTGAATATCTGTATATGTACTGAATCAAAACTTAGTGATTTATCAGTTTTTAAAGTCAAAACATGATAAAATACTACAGAAAAATAAACTACTTGCAGACTTAAGCATGACAATATTGTATCCGTTAAGTATGAAATCGCATCAAGTTTCAATAAAACAAGACTGTTTTATTTAACTATAAAGAGAAAATAGCTCTTTATTTATTCGAATTTTTTAAAACTTCACAATACAAGGCTTGCTGGAAAAGTAAAGTTAAATTCATGACACAATATTCTTGCACTGAGCCTGGTTAAATCTAGGACAAGTTGATTCAGGAAGCAGATGCTATTTTAAGATCGAAATTTATAATGTTTCAATCAACAGAAATAAGTTTTTAGAGTTTTCCACAAAATGTGCTCTTCTTATGTATGAAAAGACATAAGATTCTTATGTATAAGAAAGATGCAAACAGAGGCTATTTTTAATTAGATGAAATTTTGATAAAACCATTAATTGAAACTGTTTGCTATTCTGTCTAGATTCTATGTAGAAACTAGAACAATTGTAAAAAAGAAAGATATAAAAACAATTTGGAAGCTATTTTTTCCAAAATAAAATATTCCTTTAGGTGATTTAGCTTTACTTCGAGTTCAAGTCTTGTAACATAAATCAAGAAATTAATGGAATATAAAGTATCTTTCACACTTCATAAAACATAAATTAGTTAGAAATTTCAGAATTTAAGGTCTACGTCAAATTCATTTACCTAATAAGACATTCTAAAACACATTAATTCACAGAAACAATACATTTTACAAAGCCAACATACTTAACAGAGAAGATTAGACTAGAATTTTTCCACATTGAAAAACATAATATACAAATCGCAACAGAAAAGCTGCTAAGGTATAGAACCTTTATGTTCTATCACAGTTAAACAAAATGGCAGTGCAATAGCTTTTAAAACAAAAAAAGAGAAACTTCAATGTTCAGCTTAAAAATGTGAATTTAGGAAAATATTTTGAACAAGACCATTGTGTTGATGGCATTTGAAGCTTACTAATTAATTGTAGACTTTAGGCCAATTATAAATTATTACCCATAAAATCTATTGAATATTAATCAGAAGTATAAAGTTGCTTAAACCAAATAACAGTAAAAAATAATTTTAATAGCGCAATAACACACATTAAATTAATTCAATAAGTCTTGTTCTCAAAGTCTAAAAATTTGCAGACATCTCATAAAAAAGTTATTTTTTTAATGAAAATTATAGTTTTATGCTTCTTAAAACCTTTATAATTATATATAACACTAAAAACAGAATTTGTATTTTTTTGCTGACAAACTGGTTGCATTTAATATGACTTAAGTAACATAATACAAATTTTTAAAAAATTGATTTTTTCCCCCCCAAACACTTTACCAGAAAATTCGAACTGCGCAATGGTTCACAAAAACATAGATTTTTTTGTGAATATGGTTCTCAAGGAATCAACCATATCCTATAAAATAACTTTATAGAAAAAGGTTTGTGGAAAAGTATTTAAGTCAAGTGTTGTTTTCAACGTGCAGAATTGTCAATGTTGTTCAAACTAACAATTCTTGTTATTACATACTTGACAATTATTCTTGGTTTATTAATAATTAGATAAGTAATATTCATTTCCACACTCTCAATCATCTAGGACATAGAGAAGCAACTAAACCTACATTGATCAGACCTCTCATCATTCTTGAATTTGCAAGTAACAAAGAAAATTGCTTACTTATAAGCTAAATTTTAAAGTAGAAAAATATTTAACGAAACAAAATTCATTAAGTGCCAACTGATGTTAAATAAGTAAAACAGTGTGTGTAGCGTTTTTAAAAAAAGTTTAAAGGTGCTTATTTTTTATTTAAATTTTTTAAGAGCCTTTAAAGGAGCTTTTTTTTACTCAGGGTTTGTAAAAAGTGCTTAGTTTTCTATCTTTTAAAAAGAGATTTTATCTTTGCTGTTCTGATCGTCTTAGAGCGACAATCAGAATTACGAAAAATGTACGATGTTCACAATTTTCTCAGAAATTAGTTATTTTATCATGATTACGCAAAATTTTTGAATTTTATGTTAATAAATTAAGAACTTTAAATGATAGAAAAAAAATCTATTTTATTACTGCACAGATTGTAATTAAGATAAAAATTATTTTTGGAGTGCCTAAAATGTACTTAAAACTTGCTTATTTTTTTGTTGAAACATCTGGCTATGCACCCTGAAAAAAGATTTAATATTATAAGCCTATAATATGATATAAGAAAGTGTCTGATAATGATATAAATATTTCATATCGCCCAGCACTACTGCTCATACACAAAAAAGCAAGCATTTTAAAGCTGAAAATGAAGAATCATAACAATCATTCCATTTCTTATTTACAAGATACAGCATGCATTTCTTAAATAAGTTCATTCGCTAGCAATGCTAAAAACATATTTTTAGTAACAATTTTGTTTTATTGCACAAGCCATACGTAAGTTCTAAATGAAATATTTGATTAAAAAAAAATTAAAGCTTTTATATACCCGAAACTTAAACAACAAATTTAATTATAATGTTAGAAAAAACGACAAGTTTTTCAACAAGCCTATTCACAAAAGGAACTTAGCAATCAACTAATCTAAAGCATACAAATAACTCAGATAACAACATGTATTTTGCACTAAATCATTAAAAAAATATTCACAACTGAGCAGCTATTTGTGCAACTGCCATTTGATACAACTGAAGAAATAAAAACTCAAATTATTAACTAACAATAATAGATCACAAGTATATAACCATTGAGATCACATGTAACTTCAGAAACTCTAAAAATCAATAACAAATTAAATTAATTTGTTTTTATACAATATGATTTAAATCAATGTGTTTATGTACATGGCTGATTTTGCATGTTCAGGTATAAAACTGACTTTTCAAATATGAATGCCATTCGGTAACTACAAAGAGCAATCTCATTGCTTCTATATCAACATTATTATGAATTGATTAAAATCACAGCATGGCAAACATGGAACACATGCATTACAGTAAATACTGAAGGTGTCTTTTCTTTTCTTTTGGACAGAATTTGTACATTATGAAAAACAAGACTATGTACAGCATGAAAATTACAGACTTCCAGTCCTTTTAAGACTCCGTATTTAGATCTCATCACCTGTAGAAGTTAAAAAAAGAAATTTTAAATTGAAATGAAGGAGCATAGTCAAAGCAGCAACTACTAAATAATTAAATTGATTCATTTTAAAAACACTCAAGGGGGATAAGCATATAATTTTGACTTATAACGGTAGTAACATAACTTTAGATTTAAATTCAATCAAACAGGGATAAGACAGGTCAGAAAGCAAAAAGGGAAATATTCGAAAATATTAAAAATATGTAGAAGGTATGATATAAAAAGTCAACAAATAAAGTGATTCTTAAATCGCATAAATAGGAATAGAGTTTTAGTTTTAAATTACATGAATACCAGTGAACACGGATCATAAACAATGACTTTTAAATTGCGTAAATGCAAATAGTGATAAGCGATTTTTAAACCATGTGAACACGAATGACGTTATTTGATTCTTTATTCACATAACTACAAAACTTGATACATATTTTTTTAGTGTGCATGAACAAACTAACGATGCTTGATTTTAAAATTGCGTGAATATGCTATAGTGGTATTTGTGTATGAAATGAGATTGATGTGGAAACTTTAAATCGCAAATGTAATTTGCAAGTCAAATGATAAAAACTAGCTTATCACCTCTTAGGGGAAGAATTAAAAAAAAAAAAAAAAAACAAGTTATGAAGCATTAAGAACAATAAAAAGTCCTCGTTAGTAGATCACATATTTTTATTGCATAATAAGAACAGCGATGTCATACTGAAAGGGAGTAAAATTATTTATCATAAGGAAAGCGGTTCAAGTGAACACAAGATTTTCGAAAACGTGACTAAAAGGTGGAAAATTTCACATAAAAATCTGGCAAAGGAAAATATCATACCTGAATATAGAGTGTAAATTTGCATAAAAGAAAATTTATGTTTTAATTTAATTGTTTTTAAAATTTTGAGAACATTCTTTCAGAATCTATTATGCAGTCCTTTTGTCTTCAAGACGCCCGGTGGCTGAGTGGTAGCGCTTCGCGCCGTTGTGCCACAGGTCCCTGGTTCGATCCTCGGGCCGGGCAAGGTTGACTCAGCCTCTCATCCCTTCAGTGGGTCGATAAATGAGTACCAAGCATGCTTGAGAACTAACCACTGGGGGTTCCGCATTCGGCTGACCACCTGACCGGAACATATGCTCCTGTATCCCAGAGCCCAAGGTCAAGAAAACTGAGATGGGCACAGTAGGCCTTGGCCCTCTATTTGCTGTCGCGCCGCTGAGTTTCAGTTTAGTTTTCAAACTTGGAATTATATGAGAATTATGATGAGTTTGTATGTATAAAGCCATACTGTTTTTTAATTAAACAAACTACTACAAGGCTTGTCCACTTTTTTGTTATTCTACGCTGCTATCATGCCTTGGAATCATTGATGCTGCAATTTATCCCTTCCCTAAATCATTATTGCAGATACGCCTAGGTACACTTGTTCAAGCAATTTTTAGAATTTGTAAGCGATCTCTATTTGAAAATTGCAAGCTTTAGCTTAAGACATAGATATCTAACTTGATACTCAATTACATTAATCAATCGCTCGTGAAAAAACTAACTTAGGCTACTTTTAAAACCAATTAATTGTGCAATTTAATGGAAAATAGGTTAAAAAAATATTTTACTTTAGAAATCAAATGAGAAAGAGATATTAACTCTGTTCTGTAGCTTGTACTGAAGATGAGGATGTGACAGTTGTCAGAACACTGACATTTTCTTCTGATGAGGTAGCGCTAACAGATACTTCAGTAGCATTAGATTCAGTGACTATGGGCGCCATGGCAACTTGAATACCATGTGCTTGTACGTCTGTCAGTTGACTTATATTGGCTACAACTGTCTGGTACATGGACACCGGTATCGACACCATTCCAGAAACTGGAAAAGCTGAAACAGGATTTAAATATTAATATCACAAAACATTATAGAAAAATTTAATCATTTAAAAACATACAAATGAAGTTCAATTTATTTAGAGTAAACACAATGTTAAAATATGAAATATTTAAATATCTATTAATAAAGCAAACTGGAATATGGAAACCTATTTTAATTTATATTATTTATTGATAAGAGTTTGAAACAAAATGAGGGTAAATGAGGTGTAACGTAATCGGCGAACGAGCAAAAGAAAGACCCAACTTAAATTTGGAAAGAATCTGTGCATGGAATGATATATACACAGGGTTATTTAACTAATGGAAATACCCGTGCCTGAAAGTATACTTAAAAAAAAAAAAAAAAAAAAGCTTTGTAAGCTTTAAAACTTCATCATGGCTATCATTTTTTTTTTTTTTAAATATCAAAAGTAAATAAATAATAGAAGCATGAGGAAGCTTTATAGAAATTATATAAGCCTTAAATTTTTGTCAAAAACGTAAAGTGTCAGATATCACAGACATCAAAAGAGGTCAAATTATCGGAGTCTGACTAGCAGCCCACATGAACATAACATCCCACTGTGAACATCACAGTGAACATAACATCCCACTGTGAACATCACAGTGAACATAACATCCCACTTTTTAGACATTTTTAGGAGTAAAATGTCAAAAGCAAAGATGAAATAGGCATTTAAAATGGATCAAATTATGAAAAATCAGAAATACTCAATACTTTCAGTAAGTAATTATTGCTTCAAATTCATATTTTGTTGTATTTAGTTAATACAACATGAAAACTCTGTAGCAAAAATTCCTTATTAAAGAATAATATAATTCCTTTAACATTCCTAATTAATTTCGGGAAGCAAAAAAAATTCTTTGACTTTCCAGGTATTTTAGAAAAATTTCAATGACAATCAAGACCATATTTTATTTATACCAAGTAATTTTTCATTAGAAGCTTTGATTTTTTATTTATCTGTTAAATGAAATATTAGATTTTGTGAGAAAAAAAATTCTAATTGGAAGTGAATACAGGGTGCGTAGCAGGGGATATAATCTTACATGAAAAATTATTGGAGCTTTCATGTGCTACAAAAAAGTGGCATGCCGAAATGGATTGTAGTAGAATCAATTGTGAAAACTTTAAACAGAACAATAAGAAAACCACATTTTTTGTATAATTCGTAGCGAAAATAAGCATAGTAGAGGAAAAATATCTTATTTTGGAAAAGGGAAAATTAAGCAGTTTTTAAAAATACGTAAGCAGGGTGAGCAGAGAGACTTTTCAACAAAAAATAAGCACCTTTTAAGCACTGAAAAAATATTTTCAATCACCTTCCCTCCCAAAAAACATAATTAGGATCTGTGCAGTAATAAATTCTTTTTTATATCATGTAAAGTTCTTAATTTATAAACATAAAATCTATAAAATTCAAAAACATTTTCAACAACTTTATATAATCATGATAATCATAGTTTCTTATAAATATTGCAGAGAAAAATGTGAAAATAATGCATTTTTTTGTAATTTAGAATGACTATCTATACAGCAAAGAAAAAAATCTTTTTAAAAGATAAAATATTAAGCACTTTTTACAAACCTTGAGTAAAAAAAGCACCCTTAAGTGATTTTAAAAAACGGAAATCAAAAATAAGCACCTTTCAAAAATGCTACGCACCCTGGTATCAAAAAAAAGCACTTTAAAAAATAAACACTTTTTATAAACAAATGATTACAAAAGATGTTAGAATTATTTAAATTGAATATCAATAACTGAATACTGTTACTGACAATTTTAAAACTGGTTATTTCCTAGATATGATTTAAGAATTTTCCAGTCTTTGCAAAAAGATGCAATTTTCACCGAGTATTCACTGCCTCTTAAGGTCAAAATAAAATTCCCTGACATTTCTAGGTTTTCCCTGTTCGGTCTGACCTGTAAAAGTCCAGTAAACAATCCAGCTTAACTAAGCGTCTTTTAAAATACACTTTTTGACTTTTATAGCTCATTTGCATGCATTAAAAATGCATAAATACTACTATTTTGTAAAATACAAAAAAAAGAGAGAAAGAATTTATGAGCATACCACTTTGTGTTCCATCTTCTCCTGTAAGTATTATTTGTCCATCTTGGTTAATGGTTGCTTCAGCTAATGTTGCCACAGCCTGAGCTCCTGCTTCTCCATTCAGGTCAATGCTTACTGGTGTGACAGTCTGGCCGTTCACTTGATGAGTACCAGCAGTTAATTCACCATCAGCTTGCTGTCCCAATACCTAAACAACAAGCAAATACATATTTTATCAAGACTATTCCTAAAATAAATATTCAATTGAAAACACAGTAAAATTATATAATTAAATATCACTAGTAATGAAATTTGGGAGTCAATAGAAAAATTAAACATAGATTTTCTAATGTAATTAGTGATTTTGTTACCAAGGACAAAATCTTAGCAAGAGTAATGTTCAACACTCATTTAATGAACAAATGAAAAAAAATATATATATATATATATATATATATTTTNATATATATATTAAACAGAAGCAAATATTCTAACCCTATCAGGATGCATAGCCAAATCTTTCAACAAAAAAATAAGCACCTCTTAAGAACTTTTTAAGCACTCAAAAAATATTTTTAAGCCAATATACATTAACAAAATGCAAAGTAATTTTCAAAGACTTTAGATGATCATGAGAAAATAACTAGTTTCTAACAAAGAACTTTTTTTGATCACATTAGCCATTATAAAATGATCGAGAGATTTTTCTGTTTAATATCAGAGGGTGGAAAATGAAGTCTGAAATTGAGAATATCTTGCAAAATACAGCAGAGTTGCACACGAGAAGGCTACATTAATTTAGTAATCATAGGAGAACTTCATGTGGCATTCTAGTTTCAACAGGGTTATAATGGGGCAAATTGCCAGATTTCTTTAAAATTTTGCTGATTTTTCCAGTATAAAAAAATTGCCTGGTAATTCCAGATTTTTAAAGTGAGTAGCCATCCTGTTTTCTTATTACATTGCTTTTTTCTCTTAACAGGTCATCCAGAAAGTTGGCGTGCTTGTGAGTCTGCATATACACATCGATTTTATGATACATTTCTCTCTCGATTTAGCGAATACGTATGAAACTATGCAAGGTCAATTAAGAAGCTTATATAGTTTTTAAAATCAATCAATATTAATAAATTTGCTTATCACAAAAGTTTCAGACATGATAAAATATTTAATTTTAAACAAGAAATCACACCCCAATTACTACTACTTTGGCCTATTGCACTGCTTAAAAATTTTTAAGTTTATTACTTTAGAAACAGTGCTATCATTGCGATGTATCGATATTTCGAAGTAACAAACACTCCTAGTATGAACAATAACTCAAAAAATAGATTTCACAACTACAACTAAAATTATCCTATTTATGGTTCCTGAACTAACAAGGAATACAATTTCAAAGAAAAGATATAAAAACATTTATTTTTAAAATGAAAATTGCTTTTAACTGGTATAAGATTATTAGACCTTTTTTTTCCTTCATCAAATTTTTTACATATCTACTTGTTGCATAAACATATCAGATTTTTAGTTACTAAACTAATGAGAATAATAATTTTGTGGATATAATATTTTTTAACAAAAGTATAATTTTAAAAAGTAAATTTTTAAAAGAAAAATGAAGTTTTCAGAAAATAAAAACATTATATATACTTTTGAAATAAACTCGAGAAAAAAACTTAAAAAGTAGTATTTAAATTTTAAGACTTATTTGTTATTAATTTTTAGGCCATCAATTTTTAAATAAAATATAAAAGGGAAATAATGAACAAAAACCATAACCAAATTTCATAAAATAAGCTGAATAATTTGATGAATCAAAAGAAACTATTGTTAGTTGGTGTTAGTTCAGACCAAATATTTTAAAAAAGAACTACAAACTCTGACTGCGCTCACAGTTCGTAGCTGTGCTTGGGTGCCATCAGGGAGAGTAACAACAGTGTTGGCAGGGTCAACTTGAATAAGAGACACTGTACCATCAGGATTACTAATTGTTTGAACCATGGTTGGATAATGTGCAGTGAGAGGTTGAGCATACAATGTCTGAAAAAGAAGAAAAAATTCACAATAACATGAGATGAGTGAAAATTAGTCTCAATACAATTAGTCTTGTAAATTCCTCTGATTCACTCTTTTTTGGTTTGAGCAGGAATTTAAAAAGGGCAAATTAAATTTTTTTACAGCTTAAAATTATAATGACTTACTTAAATGCACACACAGAAAAAAATTAACCTTATTTAAAAACAATCTTTCATATGATATATAATTAGCTAAAGCACAATTTAAAAAAAAAATATTAAAAAGTTTATAGTGAAGCTTACATTAAAAAAAAAAAAAAACTTATTTACCACTTTTTCCACTAAAAGAAGAGTTAGGCTTTGCACAACAATTCAACTCAAAGCTGAAATTTACTAGATAAGAGTAAATTAAACTGAAAAGTAAATTAAACTAAAATTAATCTAACCCTCAAAGTCAAACTCAAGGAAAATAAAAATCCAGTGGATTTTATTTATCTTGTACCTTTGCAAAGTACTTTTACACTTAATGCGATATATACAATAACATTACAAGAAAAAGAAATTATAGTAATTTATTATAATGAAGTGAGATTAGATTGTACATAAAAATATCCTACGTTAAGTAGTAAACTTTAATAACATAATCTCTGAAGAAAAGTGATATATATATATTATAATGTCTTCATTTTAAAAGTTCCCACAATGACAAACCAATAGTTAGCTTTGAAGCAGTTATGTATTTATTAAAATGTCAGTTGGAGTATAAAAATTACAAATTTCTACCCCCACCTTGTGAAATCTTTACTTAAAAACATACAAGTTAGTAGTGGTAGCTATGGCAACTAAATGAAACATATATATTTTTTTTAATGTTGAGAAAATATTTATAAAAATCAAAATTGCTTACCCCTTGAGCCCCTGCAAGAGTTTCGATGGCAGAAACAGTAGGAATAATTGCCTTCTTTTCCTTATCATCATCATTGGAAAATGCGGGCAAGAGGTCTTCTCGACCATGATACTTGTAGCAATTAATTACAATCTGTCTTAATGCATGAGTCCAAGAAACCTAAAAAATTAGAATAAATATTTTTTCTTAGATTGGTATAATTTCTAATAGCAATTGGAAATTACAATGCTGAGTTTTCTATTAATTATCATTAACAATAATACCTAGATAGATAAAATTCACAAGATTCCTAAAAATAGTAATACAGTCAAACCCCGCTATAGTGAACGAAATGTTCGGTCCCATGCGTTGCTATATATGTATAATGTTATTTTTTGTGGATATGGTGAACCAAAAAAGTGAGGAGTTGGATATAATGAACTTTTTTCTGTCTTCGACAGATTTTTTTTCATTTTTTTTTGTAATAATTTTGAAATTTCTACTTCAAAATAAATACATATACCAATATTTAAAACCCTCTATAGAGGGGAATGTAGCGATAAGCATTTTTTCTTGTTTGCTTCATTTATCTCACTTTCCCATCCCTAAACAAACCAAGCAGATCTTTCCAACCCAGGCAGAAGATGCACCTGTAAAGTGTCAGTGAGATCAATATGCATTTTCTGTCAGAGGGAATGAGTAATTATTCGTTATTGGTCAAAGGGTTGGACACTAATATGTGTCCAACCCTTGCCCTCATTTCAACTTCTTTTTGCTCTCAGTTCAGTTAAAAAAAGTCTGCAAACAAGTGTCTCAAATTTAACTATGGTGACCAGTAAACGTAAAACATTCTCCATTGATGATAAAATGGGCATAATCAGAAAAATTGAAAATGAATACAATCAACTTGATATTTGCAGGGAATATAAACTATCCAAATTGATTGAATGTAGGGTTTAGTGGCACAAGGTCCAAATGAGGACATGCTGCGCCAAACAATATGGTGAAACAGTTCAAACGTATGAGTGAATGCGGAATGTTAATTGCAGCACAATTAAAACTGATAAAACAGTACAAAGTGAATAAAACAAGATAAAAGTATGAATACAGTATAAAACGCGCGAAATACTAAGTAAAATGAGCAAAGGTGATAAGAGTGTATAAAACAGTAGATGTGTTAAAACTTTTATATGCAGTTAAAAATACCAACGGCACGTAAAAATGCAAAAATGTTCGGATGGTGAATCCCATCCAACAAATCTTGCATGCATAAAATAGAACTTCCAAAAAACTTTAAACGATGTTGATTAAAACATGAACACGTTATTAAAATATGATGAATTGTGAGAGGAACGTTACAAGTACTGCATTCAGGGGGAGGTTCTCCGAATAGTAAATGGAGATGCGTTAACCGGGTGTGACCGATTCGGAGGCGGTTGAGCTTCACATCAGCACTGCGCAAACGCAGCACTGGCAAACTGTCTAAATCAGATTTAATGTTATGCAATTTATTAAAAACTTTGAGGTCCCATTGTTGTTGCCATATTGATGTTACAAATTTTCGGATGTGTATCTTCACATCGGCGAAAGGTATGGACAATGATAAGACAGATGTGGCAGATCGTGCAGCTGAGTCAGCTCGTTCATTCCCTGGAATACCAACATGACTTGGTACCCAGCAAAATATTATCTCGAAGCCATTCTTCTGAAGAGTGATTAACAAATGAATGATGATACATAAAATTGGATGACTATCATAGTGAAACTTTTCTAGTTGGTTCAAAACGCTCATACTATCGGAGTATAGGCAATACTTCCGAGTAGAGCGTGAGGAAATTAGACGTAGTGCCATAAGGATAGCCACAGCTTCAGCAGTGAAGACCGAGCAAATATCTGGGATTTTATAGCTAAATGTATCATCAGCGATGATGACCCCGCATCCTACATATCCGGCAGATTTTGAACCGTCTGTATAAATCGGTACATGATGAGAATATTGGTGACGATGTGCAGTGAAAAGTGTATGAAAAATGCAGGGTGTAACGTTGGCTTTATCGTGTAACTTGAAAAGGGAAATAGATTGGTATGGTAAAATGGTCCATGGTGGTATGAGAAAGTGATCCACTGATTGTGATGGTAATTCACAAATATCGAATGATTGGATAAGTGAGCGTGTGCGAGCATGAAGTGGGGGAATGTGTGATGGTCTAGCAATATACAGTCGCTCCAAGCTTGATGAAATAACATCATCAAATAACTTGATCAAATAACATCATGCTACAAACTATCCAAAACTGCAGTTTGTAACATATGGAAAAATAGGAAATTAATAATTTCTTCTCATGAAAAAAATTTAGAAGGCTGAAAAAAAGTTTAGAAAAGCAGATCACAAGGAGGTTGAAGAAGCATTACTGAAGTGGTTCAGCATTAGAAGAAGCTGCAATCTTCCAGCACCTGGACAAATGTCGATGAATTTTCTAAGTTATTTTATGAGACTGCTATTATGTGCTCAAATGGCAGGTTAGACATGTTTAAAAAGCAGAATAACAGAAATTCAGGAAAAAATAGCTGAGAGTCAGGAAGTGTTTCCATATCTGATGTTAAGGATTGCTCGCCAGCTAAAAATTACTAATTTATTTTGCACACAAGACGAAGAGTAGCGAAAAAAAAATTTTCTTTGCTACTACATAATATTTTTCAGTCATTTATTTGAATAATGTGTAATAAAAGGGAGGAGTTTGGGAACCATTAGTTAAATTGCCTGAGTAACGGATATAGTGAACTCCCGGTTATAGTGAACCAAAATTTCGGTCCTTGAAGGTTCACTATAGCGGGTTTGACTGTAGTTATTTTTCAGGGGCCCACGAGATGAAAATCGCCCTCCTCATTTTTTGTCATAATACAAACCACTAAAACTCTAGTCTTTACCTCTTAAACGATGTGGTTTTTAAAGCAACTGCTTTTTATTGTGAAAGATGTCAAGACAAAGCAAACCGCTTAATTTTGGATATCCTACATCCGATGATCTCAATTCTCTTAGCTTTACTAAAATAAATTTGATTAAAATTTTCTGCTGCAGAGCAAAAGATTAAACAAATAATAAACCCAGTAAAAAAATATATTTTGATAGGTGTTTCAGGAATTGTTCCTATTTTAGAAAAATCTAGTAGTCTACCAAAAAATCCAACATGCTACTACTGCAATTAGGTTGCAAAGCAGTGTTTTTCTTTTCGTAGAAAAAATAATATTCATATAAAAAATATTTTGAAGTCTTCAAATTGAGAAACTCCAGAAAACTAACAAAAGCAATAAATAAAAATGAAAATAATGATGAATTACTTTTTGCTTATCTTCATCAGTTCTAGCATCGCTTCTAACATTAGCCCAAGGTAACTCTTTTGGCCACCAAGCTGGTCTAGTCGATTCTCTGCCCCAGCCTGGCTTCCCTCTTCCAGTGGAATATTTAAGCATCAAAGGAATAAAAGTACGTAATTGTGCCTGAAAAGAAAGCAAGTTCAACTTTACTTGAATTTCAGAATAATGAAATAGTTAAGTCAAATGAAACAATGATGGGGATATCTTTTTTATATGAAAGTCTAACATGAGTCTTGCATTTAAAATTATTTTTAAAACTGTAAAAAATTGAATTGGCAATATAACAAAAACAAATATTTAAAAACAGATAAAAAATAATTACAGATTGTGAGGCGTGGCGCCAAAGGTCAAATGTAATGGAAAAAATTATTTTGAATATCTTCAAAACGTGTGAAATTCATACAATATAATTTGGATTTAAAATTTATAATAAATTATTTAATATACCCCAAGTCATGCACGATTCTGAGTATTCATAATTTTCTTTCCGAACCTTAAACGGAAAGGATTAATATTGCAATACATACTACAAAACAATTTATGTTTGAAGTATAACTATGTACCTTGGCATTGCAAAGTTGCAAAAAAAAAATTATGATAATAACATTGGATTTATTTAGAAGGTATTTTTTAATTAATGATCAAGGTCCTTTTTTTTCTCGCAATTTTAGTCAGATATCTGCATAATATATGTAATCCCGTTGAAAAAAAAGACAATTTTGTCTATTTGGTTCTGCACTTAGTTGCCGGAAAAATAATTTAATTTACATTCAATAGATGAGAGATGTGTTATGAAAAATTCTTAAACAGCAAAATCTTTAGGATACATGTTTTAAATTCTTTAACTGAACTATCTGTACAAGAAAAGAGGTATTTCTGAATAATGAGTAAATGATAAGTAAATGAATTTTCTGTGATTTTTAACCAATTTAAGTTACATTTCGTTTAAAAAAAGGGAACATTTTGCAAGATTCTAAAAAAAAAAAAAAAAAATTCAGAATAAGGCTTTTTTATATTTATGAATTGTCTAGAATTATTTAAGGTCTTCATATAAATCATTGGCCTTGCTTACATAATAAAAATTTCATTAATCTAGGTAAATTTTAATTTGTATCTTCATATAAAAAATATATATATATATATTAGAAGAAACACAGGTCTCTGACGATAGAATTTTATAATTGGTCATTGGACTTGCAACCAATGTTGTAAGCAATCAGGTATTGCCACACAACAGCTCAACATCTATCAAAAGTGATTTCGATTAATTCTTTCAACATGCATTTCAGATAGAAAGCGTACCTCAAATGTAAAAAATAATTCCCACCCCAATTTATCTGTACATGCTTTTTTGCTAAAAATTCTAACTTAAATCTGAACTTAATGATATTACAGGATTCAAACTCAATTTTGTTTAAAAGAAAAAAATCCCTGACTTTTCCAGGTATATTAGGTAAATTTCAGAGAAAATCCAAAACATATTGTATTGATACCATTCAATTTTTCATCAGAAAACTTTGATATTCTTATTTGTAATGCCATGTATCAGATTTTGCGAGCAAAATAAATAAATAAATAAATAAATTATATATTGAATGAAGATGGAAACATGACAGAAACATGATTTAATTCTAATATCAATAAATGATTATGGTTACCCACAACTTTAAGACTAATTATGTCCCACACACGATATATGAATTTTCCATGTTATTTTGTAAAAATTGCAACTTTTGGAGTTTAAATAAAATTTCCTGACAATTCTAGGTTTTCCCCCGAGCCGTGCGAGCCCTGTACTAGCTTAATTTCCGTTCAGTGCTTTACTGCTTATGATAGTCTCTGAAAACTTAAAAATAAATTTTATTAAAATACTATCTCCCAACGAGAATCAGTGTTATTACGAAATTTAATGGAGAGCATTATTTAAAAATTTAAGTACCTGAGTCATTTTCTCAACCGGTGTAGGTATGCCATCTATAACTAAAGGTGGCAATTCATGTAGAGTTGGATCATCTTGTGTTTGAGGAGGTGCTTGTTGTGCTAAAGCATTCTCTAATTCTTGCATAATTACACTTTTACAACTTCTTACCTGTAAAACAAAATCAAAACATGGTATCTTTTCTCTCGTTATCTTAATTCTTATTTCTACACAAATAAGTTTAACACTTACCACATTTTCCAGAGGATGAGCACCGAATACTTTGAAGTTGTTTTGAGGTTTACCTGGTGTAACCACTAAAACAATGGCCTGCTGACCTACTCTAATAGTATATTCATCTATTGTGGCTTTTAGCTTCCTAAAATGAAATAAATTTATATTCAGCTAAAATTAAGAAATTTTAATGCTTTTAAAATCAAAATAATATTACAGGAGTGATTTTGGAACACGGTGAGAAACCCTAATAGTTACAGCAAAAACTCTAAATCAATCAATGTACTATAAATTACACAAAAATAGTTTTAAACATATGGTTTAAACTATGAGTTAAAAATAATTATTTGAATAAAATATATTTTACCTTATTGTATATTATTATTTGAATATATTTTACGTACTTATGCTAAATATCACATATTTATCTAAGTAATACAAAAAAATAAAAATTAAATAATTATTTTATATTAGAATATACTATAGAAAGTAAAAGGAATATTTTAGCAAATGACACACAAATTAATTTATTGCTAAAATAAATATGAATTAAAAATACTCTTTCGTATTAAGGCGTTGGCTCTTAGTGCACATCTACCAAGATACAAACAAATATAATGTTAAATTAAAGTTCTATTACGTATAATATATTAACTTTTCATAACATAATATGTTGTCTCTAAGAAATTATAAACGTTTGCAGATCCCTCAAAGCTGCTTTTCTCAATGCCCAAAAAATAATTCTATTATAGGTAGAATAAGTTGTAAATTGTGAAAAATCAGTCCTAAGAGAAAAATTAGACAAAAAATTAAAAATTAAAATTTTGCTCAAATATTATTCTTGAAACATATACATGAAAAATTTGTAATTATCCGTACCTTAGAAGTCTCGTTTGTTGACGCTTTCTAATTGATGGATTCGTTTCAAAAGAATGAGGTCGTTTCCGTTTCTTAGCTGTAGCTATTGCTGCTGCAGCAGCCATTCCAATTGGCCCTGAAATGAAAGTAAAACATGAGCATCAAGAACAATACAGTAATGTATTAAAAATTTCTCAACTTAGAGACACCCTGATTATCTGAAACATTATTTAGTGTGAAAGCAATGTAAACAAAGAAGTATTCCTCAACCTTATTTGAGGTGAACTTTTTAAATTGACAGGTCGATTCGTCTTATCATGATGCCCATAGAAGTGGCACCTCTGCACTAAGAAAATGACACTGACTAAAAGTAAAAGCATTTGCAAAAAATCGTGCAGTTTTGATAACAATTTTGAAGTCTATGGAGGTAGCCTCTAAGAAAGACCATTGTACTGTGAAATGGAGAGTGGCTGCTCTCGAGAGGTTTCACTGTAATAAGAAGTAACTTAGGAATATGCAATGGAGCAGTTGTCTTACAACGATCTGCTTGCCTTTTGATATTTCTTTTTTAGCAATTGAAACTTCATAGCTTACTCTAGGTTTGCCGAAACTCACTTTTTCTTTCTTTTAATTTATTAATTGAGGTGAAAGAGAATTTGGGATGAAAAGCTTCCCCTGGCGTCATTTTAAAAATCCCTTAGTGGTCAGAAGAAGAGCACTATTGCTTTTTTTCCCTGTTTTTTAGTGTAGTGTGAACACATTTTATAAAAAAGTAGCACAGAGTAAAGAGTGATACCAGGGGTCTGTCCAGGCCGAATTTACTACCGTTTAGCGGTACATTCACAAATTCAATTTTAGGAAAAACGGTAGTTTCGCAAAATAATTTTTCTCAAAATTTTATTTTGTATCCCTTAAGAAACGATAAATCCATATTTTTGTTACGGTTGGGAAATTATATAATTGTTATTTTATTCATTCTAGTATTTAATGTTTCATTGTTGACACTAATTATTTTACACTAATTAAATTAATAATTGATTTTTTCTTTAATTTTGGCAATTAAATTAAAATAATATAATTTATTGATAAGTAATGTTTTTATTAAAAAGGGATCTCTGATTTATTTCTTTTGGGGACTCTGTTCTTCTTTCATCTTTCCTTGAATAGCCTGACGTCACTAGCAGTCGCGATTCGCCGACCAATCCAGCTCCGGCGACAGCAGCGCCACTGAAGCGGAAGAGATTACGATTTTTTTTGGCGCGTTACCACTTCTCTTCTTTCCATCCTCTTAGAGGGTGTCCCTATTTTTTTAGGTCCTGATGTCGCGCTTCCGGCCGGCCACGCATAGATAAGTAATTTTTTAAACCGTTTTTTTTTAAATCTAATTTTCTCCCTTTTTTCCTTCAGAGTCCCTTAACTTAATTTAATGTTTTAAGTTTTGATTATGTAATGTTGAAGCAGGGTTTAAGCTGAGTCTAAAAATTCATTAGCAAAAAAGCTAAAATCTGAAAAAAAGTTTTAGCAAAATGCTAAAATGCCATTAGGCTTATAAAATTACTTTATATCAAACAAGTACTGTAAGTTATCTGACAAAGAATAGCTTAATGTACAAGAATATCAAAAAGAATACCTATAACAAAAATCATT